AAGGTCGTAACATCAAAGGCAATATTCTTATTACTTTCAACTCTTTTAATTGTACAAACAGTTGATTAATTTTATTACCTCATTCCGCAAGTTCAATCTCCCCATTGAAAATTTCTGCACTAAAATTACTCACATCGATGACGTACATCCACGTTGCCACTTTGGTGTGTCCACGATGCACTTTCTCAAATTCCGCCATCACTTCACTCCGTATCACTCTCGCGCCATCGTATCTTCGGTCATTTCAGTGATTTGTCCATATCAATCTTTACGGTACGATTCATCTGAATGAATGCATTATCAAAATAAGTTTTTGGAGCAAGACAATAACTGAGACGAGCGTTCTCGTATAAATTACATTTATAAAATGAGCATAATAACCGTCTTCCAACAACTCCTTCAATTATTTCGCTGAGAATTTGCTAATTTTATTGATTCGTGATGTACAGTGCGCAGTGTATATAATATGTAATACTATTCAACAATCCCATTTCCATGACCATTCCTCAGTGTATATACAACGATAATAATACTATTCATTCGAGACATTTTCTTCTTCAACTGTTTCGTTTATTGTTTCATTTCGACTGCTTTCAAGCATCAACCTGTCAATGAAATCACTTCGATTTGGAGGCGCTCACCCAATCATTGCCGCTATTTTTATTATTATTGTTAGTTGATTTCTCGTATAATTCTCCGTTATTCTAAGAATCCGGTGGGTTTACAATCGGTTCACTTCTAAGTATGGCTTTAGGGTATTTGTCTGATTCATTCATGTATAATAAACCCATTTTAACACTGAAAATTTTGGCGAAATAATTTACACACAAATAGCTATGTAATAATAGAGCCGCGTGACATAGCGAGATGCTTGCGAGACGCAGTATATTCGGATTTCCAGTGCTACTCATCACTAGTGGTGCGCTCCTTTAAAACACACAATACGTTATAACAATGCTCGTATGAACGATAGCAACACGGATGTACTGATATTGATGATGATGTTCATGCGTAACCGACCTATAAACCGAGATTTTGATGGATTAATCCTCAAAGATTGAGACAATTCTTGACGATTACGTGTGGTCATGTTATATGTATAAGAACGAACCTTGTTGTATTGATAGCTACACGAAGGCACGATTACGGCTAAAGAACTTAAGGAATGAAGATGACAATAGTAATAATAATAGTAGTGATTATAAAGGATTACCTTGATCATCAACAATTGAAGGTATCTCTGAGGACATATTGCCTGGAGATGTTGCTGTGGGTAACGTTAGGTGAGCGCACGCCCTTTCAAGAAGAAAACGAAAAGTTATGCATACGAATGTAAATTCAGATGTCTACATCCATTCGTATAATTGTTTTTTATTATTATATGGAGATGTATTTGTTGTTTTACCGTATCGTTAATTGTGTTAATTCTGTCATATGGGGAGGTATTTATTGTGTTAATGCAAATTGGATAGGGGTAGGTTATTTTCAAGAAGGGTAGTTATTTGTAAATTAAACTGCTAAAAATAGAACTATATGAATTCACAGTGGAAACAAGAACCAAGCGGAACTAAATGTAGGGTTAGAAAGATTAATGAAGTTACAACACAAACTGAGAGTACATGCTGGGACTCCTGGTCGTTGAAATGTTCTCCAGGGTTAGGCATGGGCCATCGTCAGAACGATATCTATAACCCTGTCAGAAAGCATTAGAAAACTGGCAAAGCTGAGATCTGAAGAATGATATGATAAATAATTAATGAAAATAAACAATGAGAGAAAATAATAAAGACTGAGAATTCGAAACGAAAGTGATTACTGAAGATTTCCCTGATGGCTGAATACAGTGCTGGTCAGTCAGTTTCAATGAAATAAGTGGTATAGAGTTGTACTACAAAAATTTTTTAATGATATTACGAGATCAATTATAGGCAGATAAAGTAGATAGAGAAGTTTATGAACACTAGAAATAGGGGAATAAAACAGCACCTTCTCAACGTATTTACGCGTGTGTATACAAATGAAATGGTGGAAAAGAAAAAAGAAAAAAAGAAAAATTATCACATGTGGGTATATGTGGCAAAATGTCCAGCCTATGGCGGACTTATTCAGTGTGAGAAATTGATTACTTCATGTGATTGGTGATTTGAAGAGCAAGTTGTTTAAGTTAGGATAAGACTATTCAAAGAGTATGTATTTATGTTTTGAGAATGCATTTTTCACGATGCTTTTTGAAGGTGCAACGGTCATGCCTTTACTGTGATATGCTGCAAGTAATTTAACGGAATGTTTTTCAAAAAGGCGTTGTTAATGCAAATTTGCGCATACGAAGGATAACACTTTTGTGGATGTTGCTATCTAAGTTTGTCAATTTGTCTACTTTGAAGTTAAAATGGTCAGTTTCAAAATATATATCCGTTTCTCTGCTACCGTTCTTAATGGCTATACCCAGTATTGGGCAATAGCGCGCTATTCCGCTATTCCGCTATTAGCTAATAGCGGAATAGCGATAGCGGAAGTTCGAGTGAACAGCGGAATAACGATAGCGGTAACAGCGCTATCGCTATTCGATAGCGAACTGCTTCCGCTATCTTCCGCTAACTTCAGCTATAAGTTCGTTCATGAGTGAATGTATAGTCTAGTGATCCTCACGTTCTGGTACTCCGTAACCCCTTTTGATGATCTGGCAGGCCGCCGTATGTGATTTCAAAGAAAACCCTGGTGTAACCAATGAAAAACGTGTTAGGCCCGGACGAGCTAATGATACCCAGGAAATAGGATGGCGTTCTATCATAGCATAAAACTGCACGAAATACTAATTTCCTGACCCTTTCCACTGCTCGTTGACACCTTCGAAGTACCGAAAATGTGTAATTTCACCCCTTATAAAAACCACTGCTATGTTCCTTCAATCATTGAGGTATCTAAATACATATTTGTGCTGCAACACTGCACTAAATTCAGATCTACCGAGCTCTTGTGAGCAATTCGAAGAAAAAAACATCTGCAGTTGTTGGTTTAGATGTATAGGTGGATTCTGTAATAGTAGTTTCAGATG